TATACTTGGCTGTACTTCATTTTGGGTACATTTTCAACTGCTTTTTTATTTTATAAATATAGCAAAAGACTAGAGGTGGGCGATAAATCGATTTTAGCGATTAATTCGAATTTACAGTTCAGGACAATGTGTTTTTATGAATAACGATTTTATTACTTATTTTACAAGCGAGCACCAAAAGCGGAATTAATGCGACGCACCGTTCTTCACGGGTACATTAGTGCGGCGCACCCAAACACTGTAGCGGATTCACAAACAACATGGCAATGGTTCGGTTTTGTGCCGTTGGACACAGACCAAACAAGTCCTCGTTGCAAAGTCTGTTTAAAAACTGTTGCAACCAAAGGAAGCAGCACAACAAATTTATTCCAGCACCTAAAACAGAGGCACACAGCGGAGTGGGAGAAGTACAGCTCCCAGCAAAATGAAAATACTCGCAGCACCAGCACAACATCCAAAGTTAAGCAAGCGACCATCCCTTACACGTTTTCGAATTGTGTGCCATATGATAAGAATGGGGCACGGTGGAAGGCGATAACAAACGCTGTCGCGATGTACACTGCTCAAAAAAATTAAAGGAACGCTTATTAATCAGAGTATAGCATTAAGTAAACTAAACTTCTTGGATATTCATCTGGTCAGTTAAGTAGCAGAGGGGGTTGTTAATCAGTTTCAGCTGACTTGGTGTTAATGAAATTAACAACAGGTGCACTAGAGGGGCAACAATGAGACGACCCCCAAAACAGGGATGGTTTAACAGGTGGGGGCCACTGACATTTTTCCATCCTAATCTCTTCTGACTGTTTTTTTCACTAGTTTTGCATTTGGCTACAGTCAGTGTCACTACTGGTAGCATGAAGCGATACCTGGACCCTACAGAGGTTGCACAGGCAGTCCGACTCTTCCAGGATGTGTCATTGCCAGACGTTTTGCTGTGTCTCCCAGCACAGTCTCAAGGGCATGGAGGAGATTCCATGAGACAGGCAGTTACTCTAGGAGAGATGGACAGGGCCAAAGAAGATCCTTAACCCATTAGCAGGATTGGTATCTGCTCCTTTGTGCAAGGAGGAACAGGATGAGCACTGCCAGAGCCCTACAAAATGACCTCCAGCAGGCCACTGGTGTGCATGTCTCTGACCAAACAATCAGAAACAGACTTCATGAGGGTGGCCTGAGGGCCCGACATCCTCTAGTGGGCCCTGTGCTCACTGCCGGGCACCGTGGAGCTCTATTGGCATTTGCCATAGAATACCAGAATTAGCAGGTCCATCACTGGCGCCCTGTGCTTTCCACAGATGAGAGCAGGTTCACCCTGAGAACATGTGACAGACGTGAAAGGGTCTGGAGAAGCTGCGGAGAACGTTATGCTGCCTGTAACATTGTTCAGCATGACCGGTTTGGTGGCGGGTCAGTGATGGTCTGGGGAGGCATATCCATGGAGGGACACACAGACCCCTACAGGCTAGACAACGGCACCTTGACTGCCATTAGGTATCAGAATGAAATCCTTCGACCCATTGTCAGACCCTACACTGGAGCAGTGGGTCCTGAGTTCCTCCTGGTGCACGACAATGCCCGGCCTCATGTGGCGAGAGTATGCAGGCAGTTCCTGGAGGATGAAGGAATTGATACCATTGACTGACCCCCACGTTCACATGGCCTAAATCCAATAGAACACCTCTGGGACATTATGTTTCGGTCCATCCGACGCCACCAGGTTGCACCTCAGACTGTCCAGGAGCTCAGTGATGCCCTGGTCCAGATCTGGGAGGAGATCCCCCAGAACACCATCCATCATCTCATTAGGAGGATGCCCTGACATTGTTAGGCATGCATACAAGCACATGGGAGCCATACAAACTACTGAGTACGATTTTGAGTTGCTGCAATGAATTTTCAGCAAAATGGACTAGCCTGCTGCATCATTTTTTCTTTGAATTCAGCCCTCTGTAGGTTTGTAATTTTCATTTCCATCAAACGATGTGGCATCCATTCACTCTTAACACATCACCCAGTTCATATCAGTATAGATATCCAGCAGGATTTTTTTCCCCATTGAAATCTGATGCGTTTTCAAAGTGTTCCTTTAATTTTTTTGAGCAGTGTATATTGCAAAAAACATGGTGCCCATATATACTGTGGAAAAGCCGGGATTCATTAACATGTTAAAAGTTTTTACAGGTTTCTAAAAGTGTTTACAATGGCGTGGTCTGCCATCTCACTTACAAGCATCTTTTTTGGCTTGTCAGATTGCACTTTAACTCTAAAGTAAAAAAAAACAAAAAAAAACAAAATAAAATTAAAACTTGTTTTGAACCTGTAGTTTGATTTTGAGTAGGGGAGGGGAAAATCGATTAAAATCGAAAATCGGATTTATTGTGAAAAAATATCTGAGATTTTATTTTTAGGCCATATTGCCCAGCTCTACAAAAGACCGATATGACGGATCAGGTATCAGCCATATGTGACCGATCCACGTCTGATACTTACTTATTTAGTTTTTGGCAGTCTCTTTCATGTTAAATCAATTTGTACAATCGATCACACAACAGCTCGTTCCCATTTTAGATGTGTTTTTTGTGACATTCAGCTGAACGTTAACACTGCCACTCAGTTTTTTAGTACTCAGTGCATGTGAGAACAGTGACTTCTGCCTGCTGTGACATCATGTGCATGCCCTTTGCAGTACAAGGTGCGTAATCAGAAAAGAGGGTGATGAAACGGAAGTACGTTACGCTTTTAACAACTAGTAGCACAGTGATTTGCAATCTTTGTAAAAACAAAGTTTTGACAGGTGGGAGTACCGTTTAGTGGAAAATCCCGAGAATTGTGCGAGAATGCGAGTAATATGAAAAAAGCAACGTCTGACTTGGGGGTTGATAGCTTAGGCTGTTTTGTGCATTCGCTACAGCTTGTGACACAGGGGTGGCTGCTATCGCAACGAAGTGTAAGTGACGATGTGCCAGTGGGAGAACAATTGTGGGGCATTTTAAGCATTTGCCACTTGGATATCCTTCCTTGGAAGATATTCATAGAGCAGCAAAATGCCTCAAAAACGCTTAAAACAAGATACACAAATGAGGTACAGTATGTTATGTATGTTTCTAGTAGCCTAATTAAAGATGTTTTTGGCATACATTTTTTCATCTGTATTTACTAGTTTAAAAGTATTAATATATAAAGTATATTAAAATATTAAAGTAAAAAGAGCTCTTGTATTGGAATCGGTATTGGAAGTTGTGTATTGAAATCAGATCGGAACAGAAAAAAATGTGGATCAGCCCAGCTCTACTTTTTGTAGATGTTTTATTTGAATGAATGTCTTAAGATGGACTGGTTTTAATGTACATCAAGTGTGGTACTTTTTACTGATAAAAATACAAAATGTTGAATTGGGGACTCTGAATAAGGAAAAAAAATCATCATTTAACAAATCCATGCATCACCAATTTCTTTTAACAATTCTGCTTAATTCCCCACCACTGTGGCTATCCTTCTGCTTAGTTAAAAGAAACCTTGAAAGCTTTTTCCAGAGTCAAAAGGAATTTCAATTTAATCTCATTCATTTATTTTACCTCTCGTAAACAACAAATGTCTATACTGATAACAGAAAGACATGAAAAAGACTTCACAAAATCCACTGCAATCTTAAGGCATGCAAACATTGTTCTCAAACAGGTCAAATCTTGGTCAGTAAAAAGCTGTCATGTTATTGACATGTCTGAGCATGACTGATCTTTTGATAAGCAATGCATTTCTACCTTTTACACTGGCTAATAGTAATTTCTGCGCTTAACGACTTATGTACGCAAGGAATTTGAAAGTCGAATAACATATGACATACACTGAAAAAATGTAATGAAACAGACACAAAGTAAAATAACGATTGAGTTGAACAATACAAGGCAAATTTTTTCCATTTATATGTGGTATGAAACATTGACAAGTTTGCCTCCATTGCCAAATTCATCTATAAAATTACAAATTTTTTTTTTTTGCTATATAAAATTGATCAAATATGAAAATTGTAAAATGCCATTTACAGTTAGCCTGTCTGTCATTTGCTGGTAAACAGGCCGCAGAAAGAATTGTCATTTACATAACTAATACACAAGTAACATAACACACACTGAGATAGTATGGATTGAAAAGCCAGTCAAAATATTGATCCAATAAAAATATTCTATAAAAATCTTTATAATCGTTATGAATGACTATAGATAAACCATTTTAAACATGGCAGTATAGCTTACAGTCAGATGGCATTTTACATTTAAATCATCATTAGCTAGAAAGAAAAGTACAGCAAAAATAATCTGAAAATGCTCATTTCATTCCAAAGAGGTATCATGCTGTTGGACCCTTAACTTCAATTATTCAGTTGAATGAATAAGAGTTAAACAAAACAAAAAAAAGTTTTAACTACCAAGATGAGCAGGAGAATATCAACCCATTGTACATCAGCTGTACTGTGGAAATCCTGAACAGAATTTATGTAAACAACTAGATTATTTTGGGTCTTTGTTCTCTGTCAATGTCCCAAAGGCTTCATAACTCATCTATAGGTTAAGGTTGTACCAGGTTTCTGCTGTTTCCTCGGTTACTTAGGCAGTTACTTATCAAATTGGTAATAAGAATTACTGATGACAAGACTGTTAAGTACAAATTAATCACATAAACCCTTAATCTAATCCTTATGATACATTTTAACCCCAACTTTCCTGAGACAAGGGTGCCTGTGATTCTTCAAGGTTCTGGCTACAGTCAAAGTCTAAGAGTCCGTTGATAACTGCCATAACTGCCAATGCCAACAAAACATTCTATTATCAAATTCATTTGTGAGTTCCAGATTTGGAATTTTAAGGACTCAAAATAAATCAAGCATGAAACAAGTTCTACCCTATGGAAAGACAGAATAATTACTTGTTCAGTTATCTAGGACTGCCATCTTTAATCTAGTTAGGCCACGTAAGACCTTTATGCACTTCTCCAAAACTTACCCTATGTCATCACATTCATTCATTGATACAGGACATCATAAAAGACCAGCTGGAGGGCTCATCATTAGTCAGCAGTAAACAACCAAGACTGTAAAACATAAAAAATAAAAACTACTCTGAGACAAGACTTGAATTAAAATATCTGTACTTACAGCAGCAAAAAAAAAAAAACTAAAAAAAAATACTGCAGAGATGTTAGAGTACGCAGACTGAAACACAGTGATATAAGATTGTGTTTCATTTCCCATTTCACACCAACCACCACATACAAGCTTACAACTTTCACAAGAAACGGGGTGTCCCTACTGGCTCACAAGTTTAAAAAACAAAAGGCATATTTTTATTACAACAGACAATAGAAATTTGTTATATTTTCGGTGGTGTTATAAAAGTCACATTAGCTTCATTCTCTCTTGTACATGTGTATGTCAAATGGGATATACTAAAGAATTCCTATATACCTGTACTCATACTTGTTTATGTGGATCATTTCATGGATCCAACAGTCAATTTTTTGGGGGAGTTAAACACATTCATTTACTCACCACCAGTTACACAGACAGATTGCTTTCTAATACAGCAAAACATAAATGGCAAAAACACAGACTCTCCTTAATTAACGATAGAGTTGCATTCCTACTAACAGGTCCTTAAACAAATTGGTCAATAAGCAAGAAGCGCCCCTTACCGAAATTTCAAGCTCACTGTACTGGTAGTGGGTTTTTGTCAACCATCTTTAGATATTGTTTTAATATTACCTTTGCAGCATTTATAACATTTTTAGTATATTTATAAATGCTAATACAGTAGTGTACTGAATATGGCAATAAACAGAATAGAGGAAATCAACTGTAATATACATTACTTTGGTTTGCATACTGTAAATCATTTTTTTATTTATTCTGAATAAAGAAAAGGTGTAAAGGAAACTTCAACTTCATAACTTTGGCTTAATTTGTGTACCTCAATGATTTCATCAAATTGGTCAACAAAATAAATTTTCCACTGCTTCTATGTCCGCCTGCTGAAAGAAGGGTGATTCGAAATGAGCGTACAATTCCGATTGGCCGGAGAGCAAGTCGTAAGGTCGGGCAGCTGTTGTAACAGGTAGGTTGTTAAGTGAGGAGTGTCTGTATATTAAGGCATCACAAAACATTGGCCTCCATTCTTTAATAGCCTGCACAGTTATTTAAGCACTATGCCACCACTGACAACAGAACTAATAATATTAATGGTCGACTGATTATCGGCATGGCCAATTATTGGGGGCCGATATTATGCATTTGGCCAATTAATTATCGGTATCAGCATTTTATTTTAATGATCACCGATATTAAGCAATTACAAGGTATGCTACTGCGGCTCCGCTGCCGTCTCTTCTTCTGTTCCGTTTGCTCTCAACCCGGTGCTTCATTTAATGTCCCGCCCACAGCAATCTCTGATTAGCTAATGTCACACGAATAATAGCCAATCAATACTGAAGCCTTGCTGTCGCTCACCCCACACTCAGACACAAATTCAACGTGATTCTCCAAGAAGTAAAAAAAGAGGATAGAAGGGAGTTTCAACTGAGTGTAGACTGTGGCTGAGGATGGAAGGTAAAGCAGTGTTTCCCCAAATTAAAACATTACAGTCCTACACACTAAAGTTGCAAAACACCATATAGCTCCTGTGAGCTTTTTCCATAATGAAAAGCCTGTCCGCTTTCCCAGTTACAGTACTGAAAATGTCAGAAAAATTAACCTTGTTGCGGTGATAATGTGAGCCTTAGGAAGCATAATGCATTCACTAAAGAAAAAAAAAATATCCAAGCGAATTTTTAATGAAAAGTGTATCTCGTTAATTCAGAACAGAGCAAATGTTTTCTTTAGTGAATGCAATACTCTTCTGTATGAGCCAGTAATGTTACCTGTAATGACAAGGTGTCAACAGTGTTATGTAGCAGCGACAGTTAAGGTTGCAACAGGAACTTATTTGAGCTTCCAAGCTGCTTAGCTTGCTTTACATTACAGTACTTACATTACATATGAGATGGTGTTCTCATGTTATGTATAACGTTAGCTAACAACATGGAGTCTCTTACTGTTAATTTAAATGCATTACCAAAATCTAATATGCAATTAAGCAAAAGTTATTCATGGTATTAAAGCATCTATTAATTTCAGTTTAGTCTCAACAATTTTTGATAGAAAGAGAACTAGGTTAAGTGGAAAGCATGCTAAGCAGCTTTGTTTTCTTCACCACAACCTGCTGCTGCTTAATTTGGAATACTAAAAGATTAAAGTTTCAAATTTAAGTTTCACTTAGTTTTATAATGTTACTAAAACTCCCTTTTTTATTTTATATTATTTAAAGTTCTACTATTAAATACATTTTCAGTACTGATGCAAATTCCATAGTTTTGGTTATTTATTACTACAGAATTTTTACCAATCCGGCACTGGTATCACGTTTCCACCACAAAAAACTGGCCCTGGGCCAGAAAAAAATTACTCCAGCATGGCACCACAGAAAAGCTGGGATCAGAATGTGGCACCATAACATCAGCGAAAGTGGGATGGGCGATGGTGTCCAAACCTTCCATATACCAGAAAAATTCAATCCATAAGCGATATAGTTAGTCTAATAATGGCAGTGCTGCAAGTGAAACAACTTGCCAGCTTATTAGCAGAATAAGGTTGTTTTTTATTCTGAGAAAAACTAAAGATCGATCAGTTGGCCAGATTTAATAATAAAGTACAAATATGTCGCAGGTCAAATAAATAAAATATTATAGGGTTTCAGTAGAGAAGAAAACATGAGGCGGACAGCAAAGTTCACTTTTTAGCACTACTGCATGATCCATAAAAGCATAGCGGTAAAATAGCAAGCGAGAATAAACTAATATACACGGACGGGGGAGCCTTTACAGAGACAGGGCCTACTCCGGAAACTTTTTTTCAGTTCGGCAAAATTAATCAAAAAAATGAAATACAGATCAACCTTTACTTTCACTTCCGCCTACATAACATTTCTGTTCCATTCTTTTTTGAAACTGGTGAAAATGCAGTCTAGTTCTCAAAAGGCACCAAACGAGAACCAGCCCAGCACCGGCACCAGCTCTGTGTTGGTGGAAACAAAGTAATAGGTGCACCACTAGTTAACCTAGATGAAAGCTACCAATGAAATAGCACTTCATTTATGTGGTTTGTTTTTCCTGTACAATTGAATAGATGACCTTTTTGACAATTTACACCAATTTGTTCTCCCACTTATATTAACAACAATAAAAATGTATGTTCTGAGATTCTACTTTATTTGTATTCCATTAACAGTGTGTGAAGATCCCATGGTAATATTTGTAAATTTTTTTCCGATGAAGTTAGAGCTCTAAATTTTGGTTATCAAAATAATCATACAATTGCATTAATCGAATTGAATTTCCAATTCAATAAATCCTTCCCCTAAATAGGCCTAATCAAACTGCATCGCCCTGTGGGCAACAATTTACACCCCTACCCACATACAACTTCTTAAGTCATCTACCAAGATCCAGAGACATTTACTGAAACTGCATACTAGACTGAATTTTAGCAATTCCAACCAATAATAATTATTTGGGATACACCGTTTTGTGGTTATATGTTCTCATTTGTTTGCTAATGTATTCTACATTTAAAAATCCTGCAATTCTTACAGATATTATCCACAAAGCAAGAACGTGTTAGCAAACAAATGAGAGAACACAGAACCACAAAACAGTGTGTATCCCAAATAATTATTCTGAATATTAATTCCAGTTTTTGTAAAGCACAAATTCCAAACATAAATCAAGGAAATCAATATATATATCTACTTTGCCAAAGATATTAATGCAAAAATTGTCAGCTAGTTATAAATCACCTGACTTAAGTTTGCATGTCCAGGTTTCAATCAAAGATATGATATATAGTTACAATTAACATTATATTTCTTCCTTAATAGTAAATTGTTTTCCTATGCTGTTGCAAGGATAAGGTGCTCTCCATAAAGCACTTCTAAGGCTCTATTAGGGGCCTCAAAATTGGTTTAGCACAAAGTTACTGTTGTTAAAATTAACCAAAATGAACTAAACACAAAACTAAAACAGAGCTTAAACAGAAAAATTTAAACAAAAAACATTGTTCCAAACATAAAACAAAATACTAGAACAAACCCCATAGAAATGGCAACAGATGGTGACAATGGCAGCTCTTAGAAAGGTGTTGTTTAGATAAACTTGTGAAAGTGAAAATAAACAGTTAGGAAACCATAACATTTTGAATAGCTGGGTAGGACAAACAGGGGAAAAAGCAGGAGTACACTCTAGACAGAATGCCAGTCCATTCTAGGGGACACAAATGTACATACACCCACACACATCACCACAGTACTGACAACTTAGCAGTACTACATGTCTTTGAACTCCCAGAGAAAACCAGAGCGGGTAGATGAAACCTGTGAACTCCACACATGCAGAACAATAGGAATTCAACCCCCTAACCCTGAAGTTGAGACACCTATTCTTAAAGATGATGACACCATATACTCTTTTTGTAATAGAAACACCCCAAACTGACACTAGACTGCCATGAAGGTGACTGTAATATTAATAATTAAAAATCTCTATTATTGAAAAAAAATTGGCCTGCAGACCTAGGGATGAAACTGCTACAGGTTCCACTGTAAACCACGGTAAAATTCCCCACGGTTAGTATTACTGTTTCAATTTTTAATTATCAATAACACTATGGTTGATTACCGCACTTGGAAAACCTTTAGTTAAATATTGTCCAGCATGAACTAAGTTCAGCAAAAGTCTCCCACACACTGGTTTTCAGGCTCAGCATGCAATGTGGGTTTGTTTTGTGTCAGTGAAAACATGGCGGTAGGCAGTGACAACACTCCAGAGATGTTAATGCACATTTGATATGGTTTTCATACGTTTACATAAGGCACTGACTATGCTATTATTGTATTGTTTATCCAAACAAAAGGTGGATTCTGCTACTAATTTTATTTGTGGTTTTCAATATAAAACTTGGTGAAAAATTCAGTTTACGTATCTGTACTATCTGTACTTTTTAAACATTTCCAGTACACTTTACTATGATAATTATGATCACTACAATTGTGATATGACATTTTCATACCAACTAATTTCTATGCAGTTCAGACCTTTATTTTGAACTACTATAGTATCAAAACCATACCAATACAACAGAAAACAATACTGTATATAAACATGGAATGCAAGAAAAGATCTTAGTGTTACTGGGGTACTTCTCAGAATAGCAAAATCACAGGTCAAAGCAGCCTTCTCTTACGCTTCATTCTACCCTGTGTTTTCCATCAGTAATTTAGAAGAATGCAACATGGATTCTGGATGTACACTCTAGTGAAATAAATTATTTAGAACCAAGATATGTTTTACTCCAATGGTGTTCTCACTCAGGAGACAATAGTATTTTTATCAGGTATAGGCCTGCTCACTAAAATCTGCATATATTTACATCTTGAACAGTAAAACAATTTTAATGACATTAAATGTTCAGATTTAACTACAATTTTGCTGATGCGAAGCATTTCTTTTAAGTAGGACAATATTACAGATCCACACCATGCAAATACTATACTATATTTACCCCGTACCAACGGCAGATATTTCTCAACTTTTTCTAGACATATTTTAACCTCTTTTGAAATTTCCTTTCCTATACAAAATTATTCTTGTCCATAATGAAACCAACAATGTCACTTATTTTCTGTTATTTTCAAGATCAGCCATATGAAAAACAACTGAGACTGTTCTACTAAAAATACATCCATTACAAACTAAAAAACCAAAACCAACAAGCTTCATAAAATGCTTTTAAAAAATCCCCAAAACGTATGCAACGACGGAACAACTACTAACGTGAAATAATTACGCATGCTGCATCATCATCATCATTATCATCATTATTATTATTATTATTATTATCATTATTATTATTATTATTATACGCCACCATGACAAACAGAGAGAGGCGTACAGACGTGCCAGTCTGTCAATGAGTTCAGGATCTCCGGGCTTCGCCTCTGAGCTCCCCTCCCCCCACAAGCATGAGTTTGCCACTGCCACATTGCTGTCATATTTCCGAGTTTCTACTACATTTAACCCAGGAAAGAAACAGCCAAACTCTCAATACTAGTCAAGATGACTAAATACTGAGTCAAGCAGTTAAGTTTTAAGTTGAGCCTTTCAATTTCCGCCGTTGCTCTCCACGTTTCCCACGACCGGGGCACGCCATGCATGCTTACAGGGTTCAACCAGTTTAAACACAGCGTATCGGGGGTGTGGGGGGTGCCCTTCCCTAGTGTTGGGCTACCGGACACTTCATAATATTAACCCATTTGCGATTAAGGAGCCACCTACTTATTTTTGTAAAGCTGCTGGGTTAGGTTATACACTCACACACATATACACACACACACACACACACACACACACACTCGCGCGCGCTGCCCATCCCCCATCCACCACACTTCCAAAGCTGTAATACATTGTCAACAGCCCGTCAGCTATAAGTATACACTAAAACACTACTATGGACCCGAGGTCCGACTGTATAGTCGCATTTCTCACCAGCGAATTATTATTTCATTCGATGAAAAAGGGCCTTACTTTATAATCCGGGTAAGAAGGGCGCCGTGTCGCTGCTCCTTGTGTGGAATTTCCTCCTCGGATTATTCTTTTTGACTATGACAAGAAAATAACGCCGTATAAGTCTGGCCGTTCGTTAAATTCCAGCAAAAAAAAAAAAAGACGCGCGTCGTGTTTATACAATCATAAGTATGTGAGGAGTCTTAAAAAAGAGAGGCAGATAATGGAGAAAGATTGAGGAACATTGTATAGCTGTTAGCTAGCAGAGAAAGAGCCAAACGGTTCAGTAGCAGCCAAAGGCTTCAGACACTCCAGCGCTGAGAAAAGTGACCTTCCAAGCGGAAATGGTGCGGGCACAGGCAACTTCTGCAGGTGCGTACGAGCTGTACAGAGAACACTGTGTACAGTGCATAATCTCCGTATACCACCTCAACTGTTACCTAACCTCATTCTGTCAGCGCTGTCTAATTTATATCAAAAAGAAACTTCCGCTTTTATCTACTACACCTCAATTTGAATGCACAAAATGCGTTTTGTTTCTAATAAGAATTGCACAGTTCAGCTGATTGTGATTTGGATTACTAAACATCACTAAACATGACCATATTACCTACGATAAAAAAATAAACACAAAGAAGGTAAATAAATTATTCATTATTTCTATGCTCTTACCACCCTGACCAGGATAAACATTTGCAAGACGGATTAATATTGTAATTGTAATTGGGGGAAAAAATTGAAAAACAAAATTCCTTCATTTTTGTCCATTTGTACACCCAACTCTTAGCTATAACACATTTGCAATATGATACCCATATATGTTTGCTTATTATGTTTAAGTACTACTTAAAAGGAAAATTATATTTTAAAAAAACAGGCAATAATCGGAGGTACTGCACCATAAGGGGGCAGATTGAAACTCCATGTTAAACGGGCCCATTTTGACATGATCACTACAATTGTAACGTATATGCAGTCATACGTCGCTTAACAACGGGGACACATTCTGACGGATGCCTCGTTATGTGATTTCGTTTTTGCACGAATATCATAGAGTGTCCTTATACAGACCAAGATGGTACAGCCTGCTACACACCTAGGCTGCAGTAAACCTTTTTTATAAGGAGAAAGAGTACACTCTAAAATAACAATAAAAACTACAGAATAGTAAATATGTAAACCAGTAACTTTTATTTTTTTACTATTTATTTGTATTATTCATTTTTATTTTTTTCGGATCTTTTGGGACCACAGTCCCATACGCAGTACGTGTTTGACCAAAACATTATTATGCGGAGGTATGTTGACTGTACATTGCTATGAAATACAGACACCAAACATCGTTCCTCCCTGGTGTCTAGTGACTAGAGATCTGTTATAGTTGTAAGTATTCTATAGTCTTTATAGTGTAGGGAGAGAAAACACATTTTCGTGATTCCATCTAGGAGGAGCAAAAGGAAAATCCGAGAAGACCCAGCCACGCCAGATAAAATGGCCTATGAACCTTATCTGTCATTTTAAAGACACCAGCAGATATCACAGTGGCCAAGGAATTGAATGTTAGGAAGAAGAAAGTGATACAAAGCCAAAGTGAGTAATTTGTCCTGAATTTGAGCTTAGCAAAAAAAAAAAATGAAAAACTGAGAATACTGGCTGAAGAATGCTGATAAACTAAAATAGCATGAAGCTGCCTTATCATGAGAATGTGGGAGCAAGATTAAATGGGAGTGAAAGGCATGGTCTCATTTCATTGTGCTACACTGTAGTTAGTGGTTGCTAGTTAGCATTGCTAACAAAGTGTAAATGCTTGCATTAATGATTCTTCATAACTGGTGTTTTCAGTTCAAATGTATACGCGTACAATCATTTCAAGGGTATAATGTTATCATATATAGGCTGCAGAAATTAAGATACAAGAAATAACTGTATCATGAGACATTCTATAGTAAATTTCAGAGCAACTCAAGAGTACAGTTAAATACTGAGCAATTGCATTGGAGAATCACTCTCATCCCTACTGTCTAGATGAATTAGTTTCTCAGTATATCATTTGCCAGCTGTAACAGGGAGTTCCACTGTGGTGCATTATTGGCAACATCTTTGCAGGTTTCTAGCTGCCAGCAGTAAGATATATGCCACACCCCTGGTTGTCACCAGCTATCTAGAAAAGAATTGAATGGTCTATAATGAGGAAGTGCAAAATCTCCAGTTAAGACATATGCCTGGGCGTGGGGGACATTACAGATTATAGGGTTTATGCAGAACTGAAAATAAATGAGCTGCAGTGATCATCCATCCATCCATCCATCCATTTTCTGTCATTTACCCAGGACCAGGTCGCGGGGGGCAGCAGTCTAAGCAGAGTTGCCCAGACCTCCCTCTCCCCAGTCACCTCCTCCAGTTCCACCAGGGGAATACCAAGGCGTTCCAGACCAGTCAGCAGAAATAGTCTCTCTAGTGTGTCCTCGGTCTGCCCCGGGGCCTCCTCCCAGTTGGATATGCCAAAAGCACCTCCCCAGGGAGGTGTCTAGGTGGCATCCTAGATAGATGCCCAAACCACCTCAACTGGCTCCTTTCGATGCGGAGGAGCAGCGGCTCTACTTTGAGCCCCTCCTGAGTGTCTGAGCTCCTCACTCTATCTGTAAGGCTGAGGCCAGACACCATGTGAAGGAAACTCATTTCTGCTGTTTGTATGTATGATGTCATTCTGGTCACGACCTTAAAGCTTGTAAACAATAGGTGAGAGCAGGAATGGAGGTTGACCAGTAAGTCAATAGCTTTGCATGCAGTGATTATTTCATAGATAGATAGATAGATGATAGATAGATAGATAGATAGATAGAGAGATAGATAGATAGAGAGATAGATAGATAGATAGTATCATTTCAATCCTTCCACAACTCTATTGAAGTCCAGACGCTGGGACCTGTATATATGTACAGTATGTATGTATGGATGGATGCAAGAATAGATGGATATATCTTTTGAATTATTTAAAATGTATTTTCAGAAATCCTACAGAATTGATTTAAAAGTGAGTTCCATTCTCCTTGTTCCAGTAATTTTTACATAATTACATATAGTGCTTTACAGAATATGGAGATATCCCTAATATTATTTTATTATTTTCATTTTTGCAATACAGTGACCTTTCCTACACTTCCCACGTTTTTTTTCATAGTACTGAAAAAAGATGAACAAAAGACTACATAGAAAATGAGAGCTGAAGTATAGTTTCTTTCAAAAAAAGAAGAATGCATGCTTTCACAACAATGACACTGGTTGTAACAATCCTGTCACAAGTATCTAAGACCTTTGGTTTATATTCACACATTGCAGTCTGTACACATCGCCAGTATTTCTCCCTCTCTAAAATCTGTTTACTGTTTAACATTAGATCATTATAACATGATTTCATAGTAGATACTTCATTAGACCTCAGTTTGTGATATGCTTCTCTCACTTCCAATGAAATTTAAATTATTAAATTTGGGTTTACGCCAAACAACCCCAAAACTAATACTCCTCATGATATTTCACAGCAGACTTAAGATAATTTTGACATAAGCTCCTCTGATCCAAACAATCCATTGATGTGCATGTCCTGAAAGCTCCATCGTTCATCAGACCATAGCACCCTATTTCAGTTGCAAGGCCAGGATACTTATATAAATTACTTTTTTTGTTCATTCTCCTCAAATGAACCCTATTTTCTTGCACCCTTCCTTAAAGCTGATTTTAGGTGATGTCAAATGGTTTTGACACTTAAGACGTTAATATTTCTGTTATTGATTTCCTTATTTGTCAAGCCACTTGTCTTGATGCACATTAATGTAAGGAAGCACATTCTTTTCCCTCCATATTAGGCTATTCAAAGCTGATGAATACATTTCCAAAACTCCCTCAGTCCTAGCCGATGCGGAACCCTAGGTGAGCGTCACATCACCACCGTTGCCCCCTGTCTGAGTAAAATTGGCTGGCAAGTTGGCACAACCTCAGAAACTGGTGCCCTAAGTGGCCATCCATGTCGCTTATAGGATCACCTGGCCTCAGCCTATGGGGTACATTATCAGGATTTTTTTTTGTGTGGTTGTTGAGTTTCAGAAATTTAACGAAAGTTCCTCATTGGATTGCAGGAGGACTGAGTGAGTACCCATTGCTGTATATGATGAGGAAGTCTGACTTTAGGTCACTGGCGGTTTCATCTCAAAAATAACAAAAAAAAATCAAGGGAATTTTGCTTTTCAATTTTAGTGCCCTTACACTGCATAGAAACTGACACAACAGAGATTATTACATCCATCCATTTTCTGTAACTCCTCATCCAGTTCAAGGTGACAGGGGACTATGGGCACAAGGCAGGGAACAACCCAGGATGGGGCACCAACCCATTGCTGGGCACACTCTCACCTACAGGGCAATTTGTAACTCCAATTCACCTTAGCGTATTTTTGGATTGTGGAGAGGAAACAAAGGAAACCCCACAATAACACAGGAATAACATGCAAACACGTGAAGCCATGGCAGAGATTTGAACCATGGTCACAGAAAGTCTGAGTTCTAACAGTTCTAACCACTGCAGCACCATGCCGCCCAGAGAAAGGTATACTTTCTCTTACATTTTTTTTTCCATAGGATTTCTGCCTATGAAGGTGCTGATAGCTGACTAAGCCATTTTAATCTGTGGACTCTCTGAGATATAATACATCATCCCAAGTCATTGCATACCTCCCTATCCATGAAATAAAATTAAAAATGAAACAAATGTTATTTTGGTTATTTTTTATTTTTGAAAAATACATAGAGTTTGTACTGTGACCTATGTATTTCTTAGGAAAATGTTAATTGAATAACAAATGCCATAAGCAAACAGTCAAAGTAACATAATTACATGAATGAAAACAACCACCTCTATACAGAGTGATATATGCTTGTGTATGATATCCATTCATTTATCCCTTCGTTTTCATTCCATTCATTTCCATGAACATTTACCCACTGCAGTGTCTTGGAGCCAATCCCAGCAAGTGTAGGGCAAAACGCAGGGGACACCTTATATAGGCTGACAACCCGTGGTAAGGTGCACAATCACGCAGCCAAGTACTATGAGGAATTTAGAAACTCCATCCATCCATCCATCCATCAACTACTTATTCAGTACAGGGTCATGAAAGGCCTTTTTTGGGAAACACAAGGCAGGGGAACAACCTGGACAGAATTCCTAGCCATCACGTGGTGAATATTCACACGTACGATTTACTTAAAACTGTAGGAGGAATCACACCCAAACATGAAGAACAGTCAAACTCAAAGCAGAACAC